TATTACCTGTGATATTACCTGTCAGTCCCTTCATGGTGTTATTCCCATCATAGCCTTCCTCCTTTCCATTGATCTATCTGTAAAGTAACTTACTGCTTTGTGCTCCTTGGTAATGTAATCTTGTAGTTACTCTTTTGCCTTTGCAATTTTTTTTATTTTTCTCCGAATCTCTTTTTTTTTTACTCCCCTCTCTTTCTCTTTTTCCCTTTTATTTCCCCTTTTTTTCTCCCCCTCTCCCTCTCTCTCGCGCGCTCTCTCCTGCTGTCTATGTACTCAATGTGGATCTGTTTCTTTCTTTGTTCGTCCATGGAATCCCAGTGTTTGTTCTTTTAATTTTCAGTCAAATATGGTTTCCTACACTCTGAACATGTTTTTTAAAAATAGTCTTCTGTATTTGTGGTTTTTTTTGCCAAAATATGTCTTTTTCCAGTTGCCCAAGTTCTGTTTTAAGCCCTTTAAAATTCAGGTTTTCTGCAATGTATGAATTTGGATTTTCATCATCTTGAGTATAGTCTCTCATGTTCAGTATTTGCCGAGGTGGATTTGGTTAGCTCAGTTGGCTGAATGACTAGAATGTAGTGCAGAATAAAGAATAGAGGCTTCAATCCTTTCATTGGCTTCAGAGTTTATGCCAACCTCTCTTCAAACTATAGATAACCAGTTGTCTTTCCTAATGGATAGAGATGCCCAACTTCCTTTTTGAAGGCTGGCTCCAGATCAGTGCCTAGATGTTTACCTGCTTTTATACTGTTCATCTGCTCTGGATCATTTGCCGTCAATAGATTCATTATTGGATCTTCAGGATATAGGATACTTTATTGGGCTTTTACATACTGGGTTTTAAAAGGTGCCCTATACTCACTGTAGGAATACCATTTCCCTATTCTGTTTATGTACCTCTTCATTTAAATTAATATCAGAGTTGTTGAAATACCCCATGATTATTCTGTTTTTACTCAATTCCCATTCTTTCCTCTATTTTCTCCTCCATGTCCCTCCCACACATCTGGAGACCCAACTTTATTAGTGTGACTGATCCTTTATTTTCCATATTATCTATATCTTGTGGATTTATTTTTTACTATCGTTGGAGCGGCGGGGGGGAGAAGAAATGCTGTTGAACTTTGAACTTTGTCTTACATGCATCTGGATAGAATTGCAAGAATACCAAATCTCAAAGGGAACAATAATTTATATTGCACAACCGGCCCAAACTGACACTGTTGCCTGCGGCAAGGCTTACATGGCATAACAGGATACAAAATGAAACCGAATAGAATAGCAGACCAAAATGCATCCCTCCCTGATGCGCTCAATGCTTTTTGTGCTTGGTTTGAGCAGAATGCCAGTGGAACGGTGTTACCTGCCCCGACAGCCCCAGATTTACCTGTTTCCTCGGTCACTGCCGCAGACGTCAGATTAGCCTTCTTGAGAGTGAACCCGAGGAAACCAACTGCCCCAGATAGAGTCCCCGGCCGTGCGCTCAGATTTAGTGTGGAACGCAGGCAGGAGTATTCACTGACATCTTTAACCTCTCCTTGCCACAATCTGAAGTCCCTACCTGCTTCAGGAAGACCACCATTATCCCAGTACCAAAGAAAACACATGCAATGTGCCTCAGCGACTATCGCCCGGTGGCTCTGACCGTCATAATTATGCAGTGGTTAGTCATGGCTCGCCTCCCAACCTGCCTCAATCCCTTGCAATTTGCCTACTGGCAAAACACATCCATGGCAGACACCATTTTCCTAGCCTTACACTCCTCTCTGGAACATCTGGATAATAAGGAGACCTACGTCAGGCTTCTACTTATCGACTACAGCGCCACCTTCAACATTTTTATAATCCCAACCAAACTAATCTCCAAACTCCGAGACCTGGGTCTCAGCTGTGCCCTCTACAACTGGATCCTCATCTCCCTGACCCACAAACTGCAATCAGTGAAGATAGACAACAATGCCTCCTCCATAGTAATCCTCAACACCGGTGCCACACAAGAATGTGTACTCAGCCCTTACTGTACTGTGTGGCCACATTTTGTCCAAATGCCATCTACAAGTTCGCTGACATCACCACCGTTGTTTGATAATCGACCTACAATGACTAGTCAGAATACAGGAAGGAGATAGAA